TACACACCTATACATACGTACATACAACCTCCTCAGAAGAAGAAAGAACGCATTTTTTATTGGAATGTCGTTTTTTCTGATATTATATTTTTGGATCTGCGATGACCAACCTCCCTGTGTCGATTATGTACCTATGTGTAGAGTTTGAAATTTGGAGCAGCAAGCGTCAATTACATAATTGCCTTGCAAATTGAAAAAGAAAAGGGATTTTTAAGCCAGGTTGAAGCTTTTTGTTGATGGATATTTTTCCTCCATAGATTGGAATGGAAAAAATTAGTTGAAAACTTGGTCCCTTTCTTTTTTTTTGGTTCATCCTTCACATAGAAGAAAAAAATGTTTTATGTATGTATGCAGTATGTATGTATGTCAAGTAGTAGGGTGCAGAGATATGAAGAAAAAACGGACGGCACAATAGCCAGTGCCATAAGAGAGACAGAGATAGATGAAGAAAACGTTCTCGTTTTGTTACGAACGACGAGATTACTACAAAATTATAAATGGCATAAAGACGACGACACCACATAACGACGAAATAGCAAGCCAGCCATGAGAATACCCCCCAAAACCACACCATATCAAGAGTTCAGAAAAAAGAAAACGTTTGAAAAAATAATTAAATTACGCGATGTTTTTGGAAGAAATTAACAAATGTTTGGCTGTTTGTTATGGGCCTTTTAAATTGGAGAAATCAACAAACAAGTTTTTTATGAAAACCAAAAGCTGGCTGCTTAACAATGGTGAATGAGAAGACAAGGGATGGGCTGAAATTTGTTGAAAGAAAAAGAAAATAATGTCCCCCAAAACAGTGTTTATTTTTGCTGATTCAAGAAATTGAAACCGAAATAGTGTCCATTATCTGTGTGCATGTCCAGGTAAAAAATGCATATAATTAAAAATTTTTTCAATACAACAACAAAACAAAAATGTCAATATATTCACAAGTACGTCATTGTTTTGTATGTATACCTGCGCAATTTGCAATTATGTGGCATCTCACTTTCTCCCAACGAAATCTCTCACGAGGTTTTGTCAATTACCCGCTCTCTCTCAGTTGGTGCAGCTGTTTTTTTTTCTGATTCTCTGGCCTCTTATATACTTGCATACATATATACCTGCCCACACATACATACACATATAGCTATTTGAGAAAACGACAATCCATTGTTTTTTTTGTTTTTTCTGACTGGTCTCTGTTGTATGTATGTACGTGTGTGTGTCTGTTTGTATATTTTACTCTCAAGACAACGGGTATCGTAACAATGTTTTGATATAGTATTTTATTTTCGCAAAAACATCGTAATCATCGCTACTACTATCATCATCATCATTGTATTCATCATCTACGTTTGTTGTATATTTTTCAATGAATCGAAAAAGAAGAAGAAAAAAATTAATATTTATGAAAAAAGTTTGATTTGCCACAAACCACAAAAATACGTATGTATGCCTTCCTTATTAACGTGCTTGTAAAAGGGGTTTTAATCATCATGATCGAATATCATTAACACCACCACACACAGACAGATAACCCAACCAGTTTTCCTTGAAACTTGTATGAATTTATGGGGAATTTCGTTTAATATCTTCGTCATCATCATTGTTATTTCAAGAAACGAAAAAGGAATTGTCTAAAAACAAACGAACCAATTAGTCAATCATTTATTTGTGTGTTTATTATATCGCGGAAGTGTGTTATTCTATTTCAAAAAGTGCCGATAATTTTATTTTTAGATACATAATTTTATATATCTCCCATTTTTTGTTATTGTTTTTGTTTGTTTCTGTTTATTTTGTGTGTGTATTGATTTTTTTGTTTTGTTTTTTTTCTACTTTCATATCTTCTTTTCTTACAGCTGTCAGCAAACAAAAAGCAGAGCACATATGCGGTTCATGTCTTAGCTAAAAGAAAAGCAAAAACAATCAAATGTTCATGCTTCTTTATTTTTCAAGTGCATGAAATATTATGATGAGTATGAAAATCTCATATTATCCCTGTTTTATGCTATTTTTATATGATATTTTATATGCATTACTATTTTAACATATAACTAATTTTTCTTTTTGAAATTCTAGTTCCAATGTTTATGTATTTAATAATTCACCCTTCAATGATTGACATCCCTATGCCTTAACGGCGTTAAAGTCTGTTTCTGTTTGCTTCTTCATGTCTCAATGACTTTGTACTCTGGTCTTTACAAAAACAGTGTTGCCAATATGATAATGACGTAAATAACGTATGTTAAATGCGTTTTTTTATACAATAATTTCTGTAAATCCATTGCAATTTAAAAGCGGGAATTTGTGTTATTGATTTTGAACATTGAATAATATTAATTATATTAGTCTATAATAGTGTATTGTAGAGAGTTTTTTACTCTTGGCGAATATTAAAAAATGTTTGTGATTAATTAAAAAAAAATATTAACGGTATTACCTCGCAAAACGAAAAGAACCGGCGGAGGAAATTCGAAACCCCTGTATTCCAAAAAATCTAATATTTTTATTTGAATACAGTTTTGACGAATAATGAATTATTTATTTTAAAATAAGTTTTTCGTTTGTGATTAATTAAAAAATCCTTAAGTCTAGTTAAGGGCGCACTCGAGGAACGTTTTGAAATTTTTACCACATTTTATTCTTGGGGTCCTGATTACAACGGTATACATTTGTAATAATGATTATGTCCAAAAGTCCAGCGAAATTTCTGCCCTTTATTAGGTATCTTTTATTTAGACATAAAAAGTGCATTCGAAAACGTCAACGTCGATATTTTATTGGATAAATACAAACTCCTTGGAGTAAACCACCACACCTGCTCAGTTTTGCACCACCTTTTCCTATTTAAAGATCTTATAGAAGATGAAGAAAATTCGATTATACGTAAATCATTCACAGGAACCTCTCAAGGCTCTATATTGGACCCTCTAAGTTTCAATGTGTATATAAGAGATATTTTTGATGGTCTGGGAGTCGAAACATTAGCCTATGCGGATGACCTCGTAATATTTTGCGTAGAAATTGAACAAAACAAAAAAATATATATATATATAGAATCCAGAATCTCTTAGTTAGCAGACTTGGTGATATTCAATTGGACCAATCCTCACAAAAATCTAAAGGAATGATTTTCAGTTCTTCGAAATATATTTAAGGAGAAGGAATAGAATTTATAAGGTGAAACTTTTTAAGTAACTCTGCTGCTGCTCTCTACGATTCTATTTTGAATTTCTTCCCCCTTGTCACTTTTTATACCTCTCACTTCTAAGAACTCTGCAGAGTTACTTACAAAATTTGCATGTATAAACCCAGACAAACAAATTCAATTTCTGGGGTTTCTTATTAGATTCGAAAATGAGCATAATACCTCATATTGACTATATTCATGAATCCTCATTTCAATTTAGGAACATAATACGAGTCATATGTTGTGTATCCTGGGGATCATCCGTTGCTATATTCAATTTAGTCCATCCAGCAAAATGTTTAAACTTCAATGTATACAGTTCCGGCACCTAAGAACAATACTTGGCGCCAAGATTTTTACGCCCACTCTGGCACATAGTTATATAAATAACTTTTATCTTATAGTGAAAACCCTGTCAACAGATTTATTACAAAATGTAATGTTATTTTTATAGTTATATTTTATACGACCTACTTTCTTATAATTATATGAAGAGAAAATAGCATCATGAAATTTGAAAGGTCCGTTCAGTATGAGTACCCTCTTGAGGCGAACCTTCACATTGCAGAAACGACATTTTTCAACATATACAACACCACCATGAAATCCAAATTTGACAACTACACCTGCGTCTTCACTGACGGCACTAAGACAAGTGACAAAACCAGCAGATCATTAGATAAATCTTGCTCAATATTTTACACTGAAGCGTATGCTATTATTGAGGGCCCTGCTATTCATAAAAAACGGTGACGCAGGCAATTGATTTATATTCACAGACAGTAAATCTGTTTTATTGGCTATTGGAACCCAAAACAGCAGGAATCATTCGTAATACTTTGAGTAAATCGTAGTCCTTTAATTCCAGCGTAATAGACTTATTCCATTCTTGATAATTTAAAAGCTCCTTTTCAAACCTATATTCTTATTTTGTTTGTTATTAAATAGAGTTGAGGAAAAAATCTATAGCTATCAGATTGGATTAAAGAGGGTTTTAAGTTCAAAAGAAGAATCACAAAGACCTTTAAATTCCAATTTTAACTTCATGGTTTTGATTGACTGTAAATCCAACCAATATTTTACAGTATTCATATTACAAAACAAATATAATACCACTGCTAGAAAAAATCGTTATCTCAGTAAATTTATAAAAAAAAAAAATATTTTATTTTATTGCTATATCTTCTTCTGTACTCTCGTAGCACCATGCTAAAACTATATTCTATTAAAAAAATATCTATTAATTTTTTTTTAAAAATAAATATAAAAATTTTTTTATAAAAAATATAGTAATTTAATTTATATTAAATTTAAGATTTTCAAGAAAAAAATGTTATGTTCAAGTTGTGGGTATATTTGTCCTTTCGAATTTTAGATTCTTCTATGCAAACTAAGATCCCCAGAGAAATTTGAAAATTACTTTCTTCAAATTGCAAATGTACGCATGTTGTTCTATATTTAAAATTTGGCCTTGGTTTGAAATCTTTCCAATTCCATTATCCTTACAATTTTTATAATCGACATTACATTCATTTGAATCATAAATACGTAATTCTTACTAGAACCCCTCATAACCTCAAATAACCCAACTAATAACATAACCACACTTTTTTTTATTTATTTGCAGATTTACTACAATATTTGAACAAATGTACGATATATTAATGTTTTGTATATTTGTGAATATAAAAATTCCCAAACTCCAAGCGGTGTCGTTGTAATTTTTATTCATTACAACAAAACTAAACTTAACTCAAATATCATTCCAATAATACACAAACCCACACACATATATCTACCCCACACAACAACAAAAATGTCTCAACAACAAGAAGAAAATCTAAGTAAGACAGATGAAGATCACAATGAAAATAATGATGAAGAAATGGAAGATGGTGAAATTGATGATAGTGATGAAGATGATACCCAACCAACAACGGCAGCAGCAGGAGCATCAGCTGCAGCTGAAGCTAAAGAACCAACACCACAAAAACAACAACAGGAATTGCAAAAATCTTCCAACACACATGCGAATGAACAAACGGCGGCGTCTGGTGCCGTCCAACAGCAGCAACCATCGTCAGCTAAATCTAAAAAGCCTCAACCTCCAGAAGATGATTATGCCAGTAAAATTCAAAAGGCTCTGGAAGATGTGCTCATAAAGAAGGGTGTCGAACCAACACTACCAAAAATTGTCGAAGCCAAGAAACAACAAAATGAAAACAGTGATGAATCCGGTGCCCAGGGCCAGAGCAAAAGTAGTCGTCGTCGTAAGCGAAAAAGACAGCGTGAAGAAAAAGAAAAGGAGAAGGAAAAGGTAGGTGTTTGAAGAACCAAAAGTGTTTATATGGACATTTTGAAATTAACAGGATTTGTTTTGTATTTTTTAATAGCGCAAACGTCAAGAAACCACCAATGATCCCATGGGCCCACCACCTTTGGGCGATGAAATGGATATGGATGAATTCGAAATGATGAATGTACGTGGCGGTAGTCCACCACCCATGGCTGCCCTACCACCACCCACCATACATTTATATGACGACTATGATTCGCGTGATGATTCGGCCTCCTCCTATGACAGTTATGACAGCAATGGCGAGAGTAGTAATGGTGAACGTAGTAGAAGACGCCGCAAAAAGGAATCACGTCGACGCAAAGAGAAGCGCACCGAACGCCACGAAAAACGTTCGCGACGTGAGTCCCTCGACGAGAAACATCGCAATGAACCACGCAAACTGGAGTTGTGCAAATTCTATTTGATGGAATGCTGTGCCAAGCGTGACAAATGCTCCTATATGCATGCCGATTTCCCTTGTAAATATTACTATTTGGGTATGGAGTGTACGGCCAAAGAAGATTGTAAATTTGCCCATGGCGAACCATTGTCGGAGGAGTTGCGCAACATTTTATTGAAACATTTGGAAACGGCACCCAAAGAAATTTTGGGCAATTTCAAGCGAATGTCCAGGGAGAACTCGATAAATATGATAACGAAACGGCATGAGGAATTGTGTCGAAAGTTTAATGTACAAAATGTATGGGCGCCAATAAATGCCAACTCCCTGCCCATGAACAATAATCGCCGGAATAACAATAATAAAAACAACAATAACCACAACAACAACAATAATAATGATCATAATAATCATCAAAGGTCTGCAATACCTTCGCTATTGGATTTGGTTATACCACCACCCAATATGGATATGCCACAATCCCACAATAGTCAGAATAATAGCAATAATAGTAAATCCAATGAAAATAAACGTAAATCTCGTTGGGCTGATAATAGCAGTAATAACAACAGCCACAACAGCAACAGTGGTGGTGGAAATCAACAAAATTCTTTGCTTGTACAGCCGCCATCGAAGAGCGCCCCTAGCTATTTGGATTTGAAAAATCTAACTGGTATTTTGAGTAAGGAACACATTGACAAACTCTCGCAAATGGGTATTGTCAATTTGGAACAGGTTAATCAGCTAACATTTGGTCAATTAAATCAAATTGGTTTGACAATAGCCGAAATAACTGAGATTCAGTTGAATGCCATGAATATGGCCAAATTGACAGGAGGCAGTGGCAGTGGTGGTGTTGGAAATTTGAAACAAAAATCTACAGACAATAAATCACAGGATATTGGGTAAGTGTATTAAAAAATTCCTTTTCAGAAAACTTCAAATGCATTGTGGCATTTTTGTTGCATTGATTTGTTTTCATTTTTTTGTCTTTTTGAGAAATCTAGCCATTAATAAATAAAAAATAAACCTTTTGTATATTTTGTAGTAAAACCTCTAATGGTGATGTTGATATGCGCTTCCTACCCAACGTGCCAGCAGCAGCTAGTAGTGCAGCCACAACTTTGTCCACAACGACGACGACAACAACACACGATGGCCTAGATAAAGATACTACAAATTCCTCGAATTCCAATAGCAGCAGTGGTGTGGTAGTGGTTGACTATTCTCAGTACTTAAAAGACTCAAATCTATCCTTTGATAAAGGAGGAGATATATGTAAGTAATTTTTAGGCCTTATACACTATTTTTGATTCTATATCGTTAAAACATTTAGTCGTAAAGGGTGAAACTTTTCTCTGTACATCGTGGAAACCTTGGGGATCTTCGGATCCCTTGTGCACAAAAATGGATCGGGGTAGTTCCTTTAAATAATTAATTAAGATGGGTAAAAAAATATGAGGAACAAAGTTTCGCTGCAGGAAGTTAATAACCCAGTACGGCAATCGTTGGTGAGAGAGAGATGGTGAGATTGTGATTTGGCTGCTTTAGGTGTTCCTTGGCACCTGCAGCTGTACCTGCTACAAGTGCGTCTAGTTTAACCCCGACAAAGATAATAACCAGGCAATTTAAATGGAACACGATTTAGTCAAGACTGATAAGAAACCGACTGACATATAGTCTAGAGACAGAGTAGGGAAACAGATTCGACCAAAATTTTAACAAAGCTAGAGATCTGCTTGCGATCTATTCCATATTCATATTTACCAAAGTGTCGGTGTCTTCTGCTGCTTATTAGCGATGGATAACTACAAAGTATATATTCAATTGGCTCCAGCCTTTCTCATCCTCACAAAGACGCAATAATCCGCTCCGTTAATGTCCCATTTGGAAGTGAGCGTCTAGTTCTGCAGTGACCTGTTATGGTGCCCACAATGATTTTTATCTCTCTCTCTCTCTCTCTTTACTATGACACAGCATCCAAGAAGTTCTACGGCAAGAGAATTCTGACCAAAGGGGGTTTGAAATCCTGCATCCAGGTTCTGTTGTGACCATATGTTGTCGACTACCTGGCAGTAGCTCATACGGATTTTGCCAATAAAGTAGCCAATAGGAGATTGTACAGAGCCCTCAATCGATAGATTGGACGTCTGCGAAGCCCCTCGAGCAAGCTCATCGGCTATCTTCTTACCTTCTATTTTACTGTGTCCTGGAACCCAACATAATTTTAAAATATCTGTCGTATATCACGAAGAGGAGCATCCTTGCACTCACGAACCGCTTTTGAGTTAATAGTACACGACTTAAGTGTTTGACTATCGACATATATGTATTCACCCCGATCTTTGGTGTTGGCAGTAAGTGTTTTGTCTATCTCAGACGCTTTTGTAATTGCCATGATTTCTATTTTAAAATTTCTAAAAAAAACCGTTACATGCAGCCAGTGTATGATCTCCGGTTTTAGTCCCAATTCTTACCTGTAGAGTTCTTAAAGGACCTTTGAGGAGGGCACTAAGATCTTTATTAGTTTCGTTCCTGAACATCCCGTTTTCACGCTAGTTTGTGGTCAAGGACTGAACCAAGGTATTTTGCTTCTAAGGAATTGGCAACCAAGGATGGCAATCGGAAGTTTGGGATCTTACGTTTCCTAGTGAAGAGTACCATTTCTGTCTTTGTCCATAGTTGCCAGCAATTTCCCACCGATTAGCAGGACTACAGCATCATCGACATAGGCTACTACTACCTTTATCCTAAGGTGATTGAATTTCAGAAGTATCTAGTTTATCACCGGAAGCCATAGTAGAGGAGATAGTACTCCTCCCTGTGTGGTGTGCCTTTAGTGACAGATTTCCGTGAGGACGATCGACTGGTCTTCTATAAGAAATCCTCTGTTGGTCGTCTACTATAAGAAGACCTCAATAAAACCTCATATTGATTTTTCTTATTCGAAGTCCTTCGGTTTCTTCGTATTTCTCCCTTTTTTTTCAACTTCTCATTGCAATTGTAATTAAATTAAAAATCTTGATTTTTCAGATGATGATGAAAAAGACGATGAACAATTGGTCATTGATGATGATGATAATTTAGACGCAGAAGAATCTGCACAAAAATCGTCCAGCCTTGAACAAAATCACAATGTAAGTTTATAAACATTTCTGACAATACTACTCACAAGATAAAACACTAATCAACAACAACATTCGAACATAAAATTATCATCTCCTAATTTTCATTTTTTACAGTCCCTAAATTCTCAATCCTATGATAATGGTTTTGCCGGCAAATTACACAGCTCTATGAGCGGCGATACAGCAAAAAATTTACGCAATCCCTTTAGGACTGGAGGTGGTTTCTATGACAACAGTAGTGATAACCACCGGCTAACCGATGGAAATTCTTTCAAATCTCCAAATAAAGATGATGACGAAGAGGATTCATATTATTCACCAATGTATGCGAAACGAAAAAATTCACGTGATAGTAGATCACGATCACGTACACCTCCGGCGTCAACTGGTTTAGATTCGAATGCAACACCCGAAGCTTCACAATCACCAAAATCATTTGATCGTTTAAGGGGAGATGTCGCCGATGAGCTGTCGTCGGACTCAACAAAAAAAGTTGTCTACGAGCGATCAACAATCTATGATTATAATAATCATAGTACCGATGCAGAGGTGACACGATTTAAGAGCGACAAAGATATGCGTTTCTTGCCTGGCTCATTGTTGGGTGATACCGGCAGCACGGGTGATACAGATTTAAGGCTACCATTCCAGCCAATGACCAACTATACGCCGGCCACTGAAATTGATGGTTCCATAACCTCACACCTGCCCATAACATATAAAGTGTATCTAGTTGATGTACCCCAGCCTAGCTATAATGATTTGAAGCAGCACTTCAAATCAGATCAAACAACAGATCCAAGACTGAGAAGAATTTTAGGTTTACCCGAACTTTCACCCTCCAAGACATCAACGGCTTTGAGTCGAAAAGTGCGTAAAGCAAGTAATACCAGTATAGCTTCACCCTCAGAAACTGAGGATGCCTCACCGCGTTACTATACACCACCCTCCTCCTCGACGGCTGAAGAAAAAATCAGCAAAACATCTTCAACAACGTCATCGAGAAGTGATCCCCGAACAGCAGATCCACGTGGCGATCCAAGAACATCGGATCCAAGACAAACGGCGGCGGAACAATCTAGGTCCTCAGATCCACGTTCATCAGATCCCAGATCACGTACAGATCCTCGATCAGCAGCAGCTGCTGCTTCTTCCATGGCGACTGGAGAAACCTCAAACGCAGCTAATCCCGCCGGCGGACAAAAACAAAACATCGAAATTCGCAATCTATTACAAAAATCCGAATGGTATAAAAATCTTAATTCGAAATTTAAGATTATGGTCAATCAACAGCTGGCATTGGTATCAACGGAATTGAAGAAATTCCATCAGGATCCCTCACCCAATAAAATATTTGACATTTCCTTCATTGTCAACAATCAGACATTGCAACAGATTTTGACAAATTTAGGCATATACATCGATGATAACGGTGAGGTGGCCCACATTGAAGGTGATGGCGATGAAATGATGAATGGTGGCGGCGACAGTAGTGGTGGACCACAAGATTTACCAGGTAATCTTAAATCGAATATAACCTTGCCAAATCTGTCACAACCACCACCCAACGCGGCGGCTGCTGCTGCGATTGGCAATCAAATGAACACTAGTTTGGATTTCCTTAGGGCGCCGCCACCAAATATGGTGCCGCAGGGAACACCACCAAACATGGCCTTGGGTCCCATGTTCCAAAGGCCACCCATGGCATTTGCACGACCCAGCCTTTTGGGTTTACCACCCGGTCAGGGTAATCCCATGAATCCTTTCAATAATCCCATGAACAATATGAATATGAATATAAATCCGAATTTCATTGGTGGCGGCGGTGGTCCAGGATTATTGGGACCATTTGGTGGTGGCATGGGTCCAGGACCCAATTTCGGTGGTGGTGGCATGCCACCCATGGGCATGCAACAACAAAATCAACGTAATTTCAATAACAATCAACGCAACAATAATCGCAATCAAAATAAACGAAGAATATAGCATACAACAACAATGGATGCCAATAATGTGATGATATCAGGTAGTTCGATGACAACTACTTCCACTACTACAACTACTACTTGTTATACAACAAATACTACAAGTAGTAATGCTTCTTCTTCTACTTGTGTAGAATCCCCCCATAAATGAAATTGTTACTAAATGAGATCATTTTTTGTATTTTAAGATTTTTTGATAATTTTTAAGACTTTTTAATTTTTAAATATTTCTTTTGTTTTTTTAGAGAGTATGATGATGATTTTTTCTAATTTTTAGTCTTACTTAAAAGAAACATATTTTGTTCGTTACAAGAAACAATTTTGAATTAAAAGTTTTACTAAGTAAAAACTTATTAAATTATAAAGAAAACAAGAACTATAATAGTTATTTATACTACATACAGACATATATAGAGAGATACAAATCTTTGTTTTTATTTTGATTTTCTTTTATGTTTTTCTTTTTTAATATCCTTTAAAAGGATTATAGACTTGTATATAGCACACAAAACAAAGGCAACGTCTCCCATATATATTATAGAGGTATTATATTTAATAGGCAAAACTTTATGGGAAATAATTGGATTTACTTTACATAGAAAATTAATTCCAATTCGATTTTTATAAACCCTAAGAAGTGTGGTTACATTAAATATTATTTTATCATAACCTCATTTTTAAAGCATATTTGCTTTTGTCCGTTCTTTTTTTTTAATCTTCCAACCCATTCCCTGTTTCATTATTGGTTTATCGACAATAAATATCACGGAATACAGAAGAGGATTCTACTCTGCACATAGAACCACCAGCAGACGATCAAGGCATCGGTTGTCTTGAAATATGAAAGGTTTATGTTTCTACAGTATAGTTGACCTAGTACAATTCTTCCATGCGTGGAATATGTTCGCCCTCTCATCGTCTTTACCACATAAACACTGCAATGAAGTTCTCGCTCTAGTAATGTTATTGGATAGCCTTAATAGATCAACGATTGTCACATCAGCTTCCTATAAGGCTTATGTTTATCTCTGGAGGTAGGAATCTGGAAAAAATATCTGTCTATGATCCGAAAAGGAACATTTCTCAGATACTTTTCCCAGTTCATTATCCCTGGAAAAATATCAGTCTATGGTCCGAAAAGAAGCATTTCTCAGATACGTTTCAAAGTTCATAACGCCAGAGTTGTCCATATTAGTGAGGGTTTACCTCTGGAGGTAGGAATCTGGAAAAATATCAGTCTATGGTCCGAAAAGGAGCATTTCTCAGATACTTCCCAGTTCATAACCCCAGAATCGTCCATATTAGTGAGGGTTATGTCGATGACGTCACCTCTCAATCTATTAACGAACGTTGCTGTATTGCCCCTATTACATATTCTAAGATTATAACTAAGTATAAAATCAAACAAATGGACTCACCTTTCGTATTGATGGTGCTACTTCCCCAGTGGAAGTGATGTGCGTTGGCATCACAACCATAAGATCACCAGTGCTACTCATCTCCTCCATTAGACGGCGTACATCAACACCGTGCGTGTCAGGATAGACGGCAAAGACTATCAGGGATATCGACTTACTCCTATCCAACCTGACGTCATATCACCATTGCTGAAATTAGGGGTTTTTTTGGGTAGCCAAAAACTGTTTGTTGGTAATTCTTCAGCTTTAAAAGTTCCGCTCATTTGGCTCTGCTTAGACTTTGTTGTATTGCCGTCCTGTTAGCAGCCTGTAAATTTAACGACCGTTTGTGTGTTGACCAAAGACTTTAGAATTTTTCAGATGTTATTCCTTTCGATAAATATCTACAATCTACCAAAAATACTGACGCTCCTATGCAACATCGATTTTTTTCACTGCTTGGTATTGGATTTTGACTTCCAGTGGATTGAACATTTAGTAGAGCTCCTAAAAGAGCTCGAAACAAATTCTTTTGAAAAGAACCAAAGCTGCTCATTGGAAGAATTATTTAATTTGCCGTTTTTTGGCGGCCATTTTGGAAGGAAAATGCCACGATTTTCAGTGTATTGTAGCTGGTCCATCAAGAACCAGACCAAACCAAAGAGACCTGCTAAAACTAAACCTCCTTTAAATGCCAGAGGATTCCGATCCATATGGCTAGGCTATGCAAAAAACTTTGTTTCTCTTAGAAACAATCGGATACTTAATCGACTTGTGGCTGGGTTGAATCCAATTCACTTTTCGAAATACATATTTTATTGCAGCTTATAGCCATGAATTTTGGGACTTATATGCAGGCATCCAATTCCAAGGAGATTCATTTCATTCAGAGATTTATATTTTTATCTCCCATTTAGGGATTTACATATGTATCTCCAAACAGGTCTGTCCATAAGGTCGGCCATGGCTTCTACTGCATTGGTCAACATTTTGTTTTGTAGGTGTAGCGATTTCAGAGGACGACAATATGTTCGATGGACGTTATTTTCGCAAACCATAACCCCACCTTTTTTTGAGATCACTTTTGAACTATTCAAACGCAAGCCACAATTGTTTGGGATCTGGGATGGTCACAAATAGGACAAAATATAAAAGACGAAAGTTTTGTGGGGATCCGGGTTTCCCGCCAGGACCATACTGCGATTGAATGAAAAATATTTTTCTCGTACTGTTATTCCCCCTCGATTTCAAATCCAAATGTCCCCACAAATGTGAAAATATAAAAGAGGAAAGTTATGAAAGGACCAGTTTTTTTTTCTGTCGGGATCATCATACCAAGATTGAATGACAAATAATTTTCTCGTACTGTTATTCTCATTGATTTTAAATCAAAAAAATGTTTTTTTATTTGTGAAATATTCCTTGATTTCCACTTTGAACCAAAACATTCCAATTCAAAAATTATTTTGCGGCTTTACGACAAAAGAAATTGGAAACCCTAGTGCTAGTAATCCAATTGAATAAAAACATCGTCGATAAAGGCCTAAAGGTTGATATCGTCTTAAATGGCTTTAAGGCTTCTATCGTGGATAAAAGTCCTTTACAGGCTTCTATTGTCTAAAAAAAGACTTTAAAGTCTTCTATAGTTCATAAAAGGTTTTTAAAGACCATTGTCAAAGCTCCGGCGATTAACTCCCATGTAGAGTTCCACATCAGAAAAGTATTTTTTTTTTAATTCATGTACAAATTTTTATGGAGTTTAATCGATATTATTATTGCAATAGAGCTATATCATATCCATATTTTCCATATCCTTTGCGATCAACAATGGGTTTTACCTTTGTTTTCAGAATTTAACACCATAAATAATTTCATGGCGGTAAGATAAGACATTATTATAACACATCTGTGATTTAAAAATTGGAATTATTTTCAATATTACTTTATCTCTCTCCTATTTATTACTTTTATTTTGAACAAAAAGACACATTTCATGACTGAAAATTAATAAAAAATAAATTATCACAATCCTTCCCTACCCAAAAAAAAAACAAATCCTTAAGGGTTTCCCTAAAGTTTTTTTTACATTTAGTTTTAATATCCATACTTTTATAAAGAATGAAAACTATTAAAAAATATATATTAATTATGCGCCTAGTATAAGCAGTTTTGCTCGTTAAATTATATATAATGCTATAAAATGTACAGTTAATTTATAATTAGAATATATATGTAAATGTAATTTAATTTATCACTTTCATCATCATTTGTATCATAAATGCAAAATTATGCAAAAAGAAAACATATTTGGATAATGTCATATATACATATAGAGTTTAAAATTTTAGATTAAAATAAAAAAAATAATAAATTATTTTAAAAATATATGGGTTTGTCTTTTTTTTTTTTTTTTTTTGCTAAGCAAAAAGTTGAAAAAGATACATTTAGAATATCAACACCAGGCATTTCTAATATACGGGTACCTATTTCGAGTTTCATAAAGAAAGCGAGGTAACGATTAAGCCATTGTGGATTAAACGAATTAATTTTCAATTTCATCTTCGGACCTCTCACTCGCATTTAAAATTTAAATACGCCCACTAATTTATGCCACATGCATGCCAAAACTGACAACTTGATCCTCTAAATGTTGAGGTTCCATCGATAATGTCATCGGTAAACTAATAATCGATACCTCAACTATTATTTTCCCATTATAACGTTAAACCTCTCTCTCTAGATCATGCAGATCCTTCCTGACACGCCTGGGTGGGGGAGATTTATCCACCATATGATGGTTAGGATGATTATCCCTGAAGCAACCAAGCAGGTACTGCAACGAAAGCATATTACAAAGCTGATGTAAGGGAAAGATCTTCGTCTCCTCATACTTCCAGCAACCTTCCACAGCTCCGACAACGGCTTTCACTCTGTATTCATTCAGCGCCGCGACAACTGCATCAATATGAATGATTTGAGACCTGTTGGATAGGTTCCCATTTATAACGTTGAACCCCTGTCTCTCTAGATCATGCAGATCCTTCCTGACACGCCTGGATGGGTAAGTTTTATTAACCATATGATGGTTAGGATGATTATCCTTGAAGCAACGAAAGCATATGCCTAAGCTGATGTAAGGAAAGGATCTTCGTCTCCTCATAAAGATTGTTCACTGGTGTCATGAGGAGGCCCCAGCTTTGCTGTGGTTTGCACGGACAATTTGAACGTGCTGTATAAAATGGGACCCCGAGAATTTTAAGGTTAGTTGGTGGTCGGAATTGTATGTCCCTCGTACTGCACATTCAATGGCATTCTCATCTCCGCAGTCCATATGGTGAACAATGTAGCCGAAGATTTCGTGGCGGATACGGACATATCACTCCACCCTGAGAAACACCCATCACTATACGGGGTTTTACTGCTGCTTATTTTGGAACTCCACGTACGAGTTTTGATTGAAGTAGTTCTCACACCTTTTATCTGCTATGGTATTTTCTGATCTTCAACTACATCATCTTGCTCCCAAAACTTCTTTAATAGTTCTTCCAAAGTTATTACCCTCCATTAGGCAGCTGATGTTAGGCAAATAATGCGGTTCATAGCTATTAAACGGCGGTATACACACGCCAAGCACCTCTATCTCGGAAGTACCAAATTTAACTGCTACCCCCATACATTCGAAGTATATGTCACTAAAGTCAAGCAAGATCGGCCTGTATAGAACAGAGTGTTGCATAAGGAGCTTGGTTACCTGCACCGACGCGACCAAGATATTCTTCCGATTCTCGTCTATTTTTCTCGAAGATCGCTGCAATAAAATTGCAGAAACGATGCACTATCAGGAGCAGGGTTATGGAGACTGCGGTGAGTTCTGTAATCCGACGTAGAAGATGACGTTGTGGATGAAGACTCGCTGGGGATTGCGATGTAACAGCACGAGTCAATGTAATCCCGTTCGCTGTATTCTCACAACCAGGCGAAATCGGAAGAGGTCTTGAAGTACCCCTACTCCCTGCACCCATTACATATCACCGTCACAGACCTGTGGTGAATGATATTGTGGCAATTCGAACAGAACCACAGTTCGATCCTGACCAAAAGAATCGGGGGAGAAATTGTGCCACCTCTATTGGCTTTAGCCATAAGTCTATAGACAATAGACTTGTAGGCTCGGACGGACAATTGAATAGATGGGTGTGTTGTGAGGGATTTGGTGGCAGGAGGGGCACCTGTTTAGGGTTCCGGGACAATGCGCTCTCGATACAAGTTGAGTGCATTGTTGGATCCGGATCTTAGTTGTGCCAGAATTGAACGGTTTTTTTCTAGGAAGAAGCCTCTCATTCTCCGAAATTGCAGGTGGATGTTGTTATAGGACTTTGTTGCATCTGTTGCCATTTATGCCTTCGGAGACCGCCAGTTGATGCACGGATTTCATCGCGTTCGCTATCGACTATCTGCTGACGTCCGATGGAATGCCGTCTTGGATGTCATCACAATAGCGCCTGAAGTCTTGGCGGATGTGTCGCGGAGGTGGATCTGCCATCACTGTGTGATGGTTAGGATGGCATGACAGATAGCATGCCAGCAGGAACTGCCTAGTCAACAACACATTATGTTGATTGACTGACCGCATCCTGGTCTCTCCAGGGAGGTGATCGACGCTCGTCATCTGGACACAGCAGGTTGCAATTCGGAGTGCATTATTTTGGGTTGTTTACAAGGATCTCCATTGCACCTAGGTTCCTTGTGTCTGGCTCTTTCGTCGAATAACGTGTCGCTATTTCGGAAAAGGAGACAAATAGATGATTTGATTGAGTCAGCGATTGATAGATAGATCTGTAGATTACGATGCTCGTCTGCTTATTCATTTTCCATAAAATCGCAGTGTTTGTGTTTTTAAAGCTATTCTACACTCAAGGATGACCTCAGACTTGATGCTACAGCATTACATGGCTTTAATCGGCTACTTTTCAAATCGCCAAGACTTTAGGCTGGATAACACTACAATCGCTATCTAAACTATAAAGGTACTCAAGACTTAACACAGTAGACGTTAGCCCCAGTATCTTAAACTTTGGGCACTACGACGTGTTGCCTGACACTTAATACTGAGACCAAGAGGCCCTAAATTCTAGGGCCAAATCAACGAATTCGTCATCGAGTTCTGTTTCGTATAGAGAAACATTCGATGGTAATTTATTTTGTCTACTAGTCCAGTCATCAATAATAAATTAATTTTCTAATTTCAAATTCATAAAAAAAATGTTGTAAAAATCCTTGGAGAAAAAAACTCTTCACATTGCAAGGTTAGGTTAAAATATTTGTGGTTAAGATTTCGTTTTTATTATTTTTTTTCTTGGAATTACGATATTTTGTGTGTGTGTTTTACATTATAATATGAATATGTAGTAGCAATTAATATATTTTTTAAATTATTCAGGCATGTATATTCAAAAAATATATATATGGATTCGCATACATCTTTCAAGATGTACAATAGCTCCATTGTATAGATATAAGAAATTAACAATTAAAAAGAGATAATTTAAAAATGTTTGTAAAAGAATTAAATTCTAACTTTACCTTTTCCCAAAAGAAAAATGTGTTGTCATTTTGTGATTTACATACACTGAGCTGCCATATCGTCAGCATCTATGCCAAGCATAGCCAAATCATCCAATTCCTCCTGGCGGCGATTCTTTTCACTTTCGGTTGGTGATGGCGGCGGTTGGGGAATATCGGCGAGATCTATTTCATGATGAAGAAGGATGCCATCCTGTTTTGTTTCCACTACTACCGTTGATTGTTGTTCATCAATAGAGTCATTTGAATTGTTTCTTTTTGTTATACTCTCATCGGGCATAGGTATTTCATCTTTTACTGCCTCGTTGTTGTCCTTGTGATCATCATTATTTTCTTTTTGTTCATTCACTTCTTCTTGGAGTTCTATTTGAATTTGTTTTTCAATTTTCGGTATTGAAATTTCTTCAAAAACTGTTTCGGTTTTTACAGGAATTTCAGGCTCCATCGCATTGGGGTTTGGTGAGGCGGAAGTCTCACGACGTTCTGTTGTACTGCGGGAATTTGAATCTTCTATATCCATATCAGCCACAAATGTTGCGGCGGCTGGAGCATTATTTGCTGTGGGTCTATTAAAGACTAGCGGTTCATTCATGGACATTTGAGAGGCCTCATCCAAGCCCAATTGTGATGTCTCTTCAATTGTGACCAAATGTATGCCATCCTTGGCCAATTCTTCTGGTTGGAATTTTGGTTCGTCATTAATGATTTGGGTTTCACCTAAAAAAAGGAGATAAGAACATAATAATCAAGGAGTTTGGGGGGAAACATATTTAAATTGTTGTTTTTAACTACACCTACCTTTAGATACTGCCGCCTTGTCATCATCGTCATCTTTGGATTTCTTTTCACCGGGGAATATTATATTTAAGGCATCCTCCAAGTCCTGTGGCAAATCACCCTTACCGGGTGGTGGTGGCGGTGGTGCATCAACAATTGGTTTCGTCATAAATTCATCCGATTCTTCTTCATCGATACCAGGCGGTAACATATCCTTATCATCACTGGCCTGTTGTTGTGGTGGTGGTGGCGGAGGAGCCTGCCCCATAATATTCACAAACTGCACTGGATCAGGCATCAAATCATCATAGTCCACCATCATACCAGCATCAGGATGAAAAGGTGGTGCATTTCCATAGGCATCTTCCATCATGGCCATTTGAATTTGGGCCGCTGTGGGTGCTGGTGGCCTAGTCATGGTGTTATATGTACTGGCATCCATTGGATACATATAACCGCCAGCAGTAGCGGCAGCTGGTAGCTCATCTGACCGCTTTTCACCATCACCTTGTTGTCCAGATGCCTGCTTTTTGAATACAGGCATTTTACCAATGAATGGTAACTTTGCCTTGCTATTTGTCGAGTTGCTGGTTGTGCTGGGCTTGGGCTTCTGGGACTCTTTCTTTTCCTTCTTTTCGGCAGCCTTCTTCTCCTTTTCCTTGTCTTTTTCCGGGACACGTGGTCTAAATTCTGGTTGTCGCACAACGGGTTTCTCAACACGGCCACGACTTGGTGAACGAGTACGAGATCTGGTACCACGTCTACGTCTGTCATAGGAACGAGAACGTCTTCTTAGGGAGCGGGAGCGAGAACGGTCATTACGTCTGCGACCACGCCAGCCACCACCGCGACCACGACTTGGGGAACGTGAACGACGCATGTGGCGTCGATAATCACGTCCTCGACTACGACTTCTTGTGGGACTTCTCGATGTTGAACGTCTGGCAGTGCGACGATCGCGATTGTCACGATTATCGCGAGAATTACGATCACGTTTATCATAACGTTCGCGACTGTCGCGACGATCTCGACTGTCGGCGCGCCGATCTTTGCTACCTCGACGTTCACGGCGATTTTCTTTCTCCGCTACTTCCGAGCGGGTTGAAGTATTTTCTCCAGCATTCGACTTGGAAGAAGATTGCTGCTGCTGTTGTTCACTGCTGGTTTTATTCTTCAGTTTGCCCTTCAGCTGCTCCAATAGTTTCTTTTCACTTTCACTTATTACCGGTTGTACGGTATTCCATTCTTGTATGATACCATCATCTACTTGATCATCATCAGTTCGTTGGTTGGTTTTAACACCTTCCTGTACAACAGTCCATTTACCGGGAGGATTAGTTGCTGCGCCCGCCGCCGATTCTTTTGATGATTTCAATTGTGGTGGCGGTGGTGCCTGTAACACTTCGGCTGCATCAGTCGATTTTGTGGTTTCCTGTTTACGCATAGATAGACGTATTGAAACGCCAGCTGGATTAGGGTTATTTAAATCTTTAATTTCCACAGTTGGTGGTGGGAGTTTTTTCTTTTTCGGTTCATCGCTTTCCGATGATGATGACGAATCGCTGGATGATGAATCACTAGAATCCGTTTCAGACTTCTTGCGTTTCTTTGTTGATTTCTTTTTCTTCTTCTTTTGTTTTTTGTCACTAAAGGATTTACAAAAAAGTATAGAATTCGATTTTTATAAATTATAATAAAAATTAATTAGATGATTTCAAAAAAAGGATGAGGCCTACAAATAAACCTCAGTATTGCCATACCCCTGTGGCCAACTTTATACTTGGTAGAAATAACCACAGGATCGTCACATGGCGTTAAGGTTATTTGAAGTATAATAACTCACCTCTTCTTTTTACGTTTCTTGCTGGACTTGTCATCGTCCTTTTTCGATTTTTTACGCTCAGCAGCTGTAGTTGAAACGGAGGTGATTTGCTGAGGTAATGGATTGATTTTTTGTTCATTTAAAACTTTTTGACGATCGGCCAACCAATTAACCTCATAATGGGGATTCTCCTCTAAGAATGACTACAAAAATGAAATTGTTATTAGACTTATCCCTTTGCATACAAAAAACAATAACTTACATTATATTTACTTGCATGTAGTTGAGATTTTAAATGGGTCGAAGCACAATGTAAATCACCCATCCAAATAGAGCACAATTTACAAAACCAGGCTGTGGCCGGTACAAAGAATGTTAAACCTCGTATGGGTGTACGTTTTGTTGGTACATTTTCATAGGTTGGAAATTGCTAAAAAAATTAATTTGGTATTAAAAAAGAGATCTTTTGTCTGGCCCGATGAAATACTTACATCTGTAACCATATCTGTGTGCCATGGTGTCTCAATACTTTCACGATCCATATGCTCTTTCGAATGCAAATGATTGAGATAATCTTTGGCGGTTTTTGGGAAAATGTTACAGGTTTGACACCAATGCATTTCCGGATCATAAAATACATAATTAAAACGTTCTTTTTTAGTGGGTCTGAAAGGAAAGGAAAAAATAATGAAAGGAAAGGAAAAAATAAATATTAATAAAACGCCTGGACTTTGAGGGGAAACTTTGCGAAATAATACATTTGTAATTTGGAGATTTTTAATCTTTCCAAATTGCTGCAATTTGATAAATTGCTTCTGTATTTTTGCATTATTGAATATTGATCTGTTCTAGAACTGCAAGAATCTATTAATTTTAAAAATTTGTTTCTCACATCATAAAGGAAAAATTGTTGTCGTTGTAAAAATTTGTACATTTTTGCAGGTTCTGGAACGCTTATTTGCTGCTAGACAGGCATAGATCAAAAATCGTGTTCTTGGAGTTAATAATGCAGAATTGTTCCCTATATCAGACTTCATATTGTGTAAAAAATTCAGAACATCATCGGAACTTTTTACACAATCATACACACTCTAGTTGAGAAGCAGTAGAAGTTCCTCTGTCCCATATAAAGTGTGAGTAAATTGACAACTTAAAACGCATTTTCTGCAAAATCTATTTTTTGATTTTTGCCGGTCTTGCAGCAAATGAGCGATATGTATTTCGAAATTTTAATAATTGTATTTATCTATTACTTACACTTTCGTTTCAACTTTGCGTACAATTTCTTTATCTTTATTCTTCATCGATTCAATGACTTTCTTTTTTAAACGTTCCGGTGAACTGTCGTCATCATCATTGTCGGGTTTATTTGGCTCCTCATTTTCCGATGATGTGGAAGAATCCGACGAAGAAGACGATGAATCCGATGAACTATCATCTGATGATGATGATGAACTTTGTTTTTTCGGTTTATCTCCACCACCACCAACGCTTCTTCCGGTTCCCTTTTCTCTGGCGTATTTGCTATCAGATGATCCACCAGCAAGCATTGCTGATGATTTAGCAGAAGCTGCAGCATCTTTGAGTAATTGATCGGCATCTGCTTCGACAACTTCATCATCTTTATCGATGTTATCATCGCCGATAATACCCGTCAACATATCAATAACATTTTCAATGGTGCTCAGTTTCTTTTGTATTTGATTCTAAAAGTGTAAGAGAACGGTAAGACAAAGGAAATAGGTTAATACAAGTTTAAGAGAATGTGTATAACAAATTGTATTTAGGTTCTTAGGCGTTTTGTTTGCAGTGAAGTTTGCAATTGTCTGTTGTCTGCCAGTTCAGCCAGTTTTCCAGTTCAAAATAAAGCAGCCATATTATCCAATTTTGCAATATGATCCATGATCCACTGTTCCAGCGACATTCCCATTGTTATTGTTGTCCTCTTCAAATTCATTTGGCCAACACTTAAAACTAATTTACAAACAATATTTCAATGCAAATACACCTACATTACAAACAATTTTGACTTAAATCTAATATAATAGCAACAAAATAATCGTGTAGTACATGTTGTTGTGGCTCCTACAGCAAGAAATCCTTTTTGTTCCCAAACACACACACCCCATGTAGATAGAAACTTGCATGTTCATGGTAGATTTTTTCCGCTTAACCAACCAACCAGTTGTCTTAGAAATTCCAATGTCTCATTTTTTAATGAATATACATATGTGGTTTGGTTAAAAACGTCACACATATATATGTCGTAGATGTACATTGAAATTTCAACACTGAATGCATTTCTTTAACAACAACAAGAACAGTGTGGGATCAATGGGCTAAAGAAAAATGTTCATTATTTAAACACTATATAATACTAAGATTAAGTGCAAAATTCAATTCAAGACAAACATAAATATAATAAAAAGAATACTTTTTTTTTAACGCAAAGGTAATTGACTGGAAATTAATAAAATGACTATCTCTCAAACAAAACATACCTGTAACTTTTCGTTTTCATCGATGAATCCCTTGGTGGTTGGTGAAGCTGGCGCTTTGCCCGAATGTAGTTCCTTGCGTTGTTCTTTCAACATTTTTAATTCCTTTTTCAGGACGGCGGTCTTCTTGAGATAACTGGTACGCTGCTTCTTTAATTCATCACGTTGATTTTCGGCTTCTTGGGCCACAGCTTTTAGTTGTTCGTTTAACACGCATCCAATGTGGGGAAACCAAAAAAATAGAAATAGAAAGATAGGGAAAAGTAAGTGATTGTATTCTTTTTAAGAGTTATTCCAAATTTCATTTCATTTACGAAGCAAGTGTAGACATGCTAAGAGGACGACATCAGACTACTAAATTTGCGTTGGATTGTTTTCTCTCTCATCTTTAATCCTCTTCATACATTTAAGGGGGATCGATCGATTTTCTGGATGCAATACTTCAATCAATTAAGCAATGAATACAGCTTAAAAATGTTTTACATTGGGGTTTTGTAACACAGACATACGCGATATATAAATTTTGGAATTTTTTTTTGAATCAAATTATAAATATTTTTGCATTAGAATTTTCTTGTGAAAGGTGACAATTTATCAGATATTTTAACATTTGGACATACCATCATGTTGTGGATTAGGTTCCACAGTACCAGGAGCAGCATCCGATAATACATGTAAAGGATTTGTCATATTTGATGGCGGTTGGACATTTGCGTTAGTAACAACCGGTGAGTTAACTGCTGCAGTTTGTTGTGCTGCAACAACAACAGGTGATGTAGCTGGGGCTTGTGGTTGTTGAGGTGGTGCCTGTACGGCAGATGGTGGTGGTTGCTGGGGAGGCGGTTGTTGTGGCGGTGGCATTTGGCGTATTTGAGCTGTTGGTGGTGGTGCCATCCATTGTTGTTGGCCGTAAGCGTCTGTAAACAAACAAATATATATGTATGTTTTAATAATGAACATAATTTGCATTAAAAATATGGAAATTGATAAACTGAAATGTAGTCTAGCTAGTTCCATGATATCACAGTTTTCTGGTAACCAGTACAGCCGATAGCTGTTATTAAGTGTTTCCAAACTACACGCGGGCTGACACTTAATGCTGAGACCCAGAGGCCTTAAGTCCAGCATTGCGTTCAGAGCTGCATGTGGAGTGCTCCTCGCGGCTCTAGTTATAAGAATCGAGGCTGCTCTTTGTACCTTGTCTAGTTTGCTGGATGTCAACTTTTGGTGCAGGATTAGAGCCACCAAACAAGATATCCATAGGAAATGATGGGTCTTAACACGTTGTTACACATCCAATATATAGTCGATGGTTTTAGCCCCCAACTTTTCCCAATGGAATTCTTACATGCATAGAGTGCTATCTGCCCTCTCATCGCCCTGTCCTTAGCATTCCTGTTCTATCGTAGTTGATCGTCCAGGATTGTGCCAAGGATTGTTCATACCCCTTGATCCAATTAAATAGCCTTTTCTAAAAAATATACAAGCATTTTAGCTTCTCAAGCACTTACCAACACCCCATGATCCTGGTGGTGGATAGGCTGCATTAAATCCCCCAGCTTGAGCCGGCATTCCCGTATATGCATCTGCTGGAAAACCAGCCTGTGGTGGTGGAACACCATATTGTTGGTAACCAGGTGCTCCATAGGCATCACCATACATCTGCGGCGGCATTACACCATATGGTGGTGGAGGTGCCGCCGCGGTATTTATGGGTGGAGGATGTGCCGGAGAACTTGGTTTCTTTTTTGGAGACCAGCGGCTACTGCCACCACCGCCGCCGCCACGTCTTGGTGGTGGTGAAGGACTACGACTTATAGAACGACTTGAACTGCGTCCGCCTCGACCACTGCGATAACGATCACGACCTTTACCTCCACGATTGTAACGTGACCGACGATCGGGTGAGCGTCTTCCATAACGACGCCTGTCAGGGGAATAGTCACGAAAACGATTACGTCTGGGCGAGGGTGAGCGACGTCCCCTACGACTTGGTGGTGATGAGGGCGAACGTCGACCTCGTGATGTGGAACGGCGTTTACGTGGTGGTGGACTGCCCGAAGGTGAGCGACGTCGGCTTGAACGCTCGGAACGTTCCGCACGCTCGGCCGAACTGTTCTCCTTTTCTAATGTAGGCGGCTTGGGAGGAGCATTTTTTGACTCTGAAAATTAGACAAAAAAAAAAATGAAATTAATTAAAACGAAAACGTCTCCATATAAATCAGGTGGATTCGCCAATATCATCGAAACCATTATAAATATCCTGGATAATAATGTATTCTGTATATCCTCATCATTTCCAACTTACCAAATACCGGTGTATCAAATTCTGCCCCTGGTGGACCTGGCGGTAGGGCATTGTTATCGCCCAGACGTCGGTCGGTAGGTTGTTTCAACAACATTTCATCTTCCATCTTGTCAAGTTTTTTCAGCTTTTACACTGAAAATATTTATGTATTGTACAAATACAATAAACGGCGAACTCCTTTTTACATATGTTCTGGCTGCTAATATGGTTTTAATTGCTTTTTTTCCTGCTTAAAAATGTACAAATTGTTAGACGACTTATGACTCGTCACTACACATTTTTTTCGCAATGCAGATTAAAATGACAGCTTGCAGCAGCAACAACTGCTACCAACTTCGCTCGAATTCATACAAATGAGAGAGAAAGAAAAAGTGGCCGATAAAGAAGAAACTGAAAGTGAAAAGCCGAAAATTTACAATGACACAGCTCAAGAAGCGGTATTTGTTGAGAAAGAGGTATGGGAGAATTGCCGATTAGGGATGCCGCAGGAAGATCGGCGTTAAAAAGGCAACGGCGTCATAACTCATATTTCTGCTGTAATTGATGGTTTACACGATGTGTTAAATTAATTATTTTATTGTTTTTATGATTGTGCCATGACCAACAAATAACACCTGACAAATCCACTTCATTTCATTTTAATACAGCTTGGATTTCGTACCTCGATTTACAAGGCATAGTCTAAACGCGCCTAGATCGAGATAATTTAAAAAACAACTCCACTTTTGCAGCCATTTAAGTATGCTACAAAATACGTTACAATTTAAAATAGTTGCTTACCAAAAATATGAAAACTGGTGTAATTAAAAAAAATCAAATGTATCCATGCATTTTTAAGCTACAATTTTTTTAAATATTGCTTAAAAAATTATGAAACTAGTAAAAATGTAAATAAATAACAGCGGACAAATAAATTTTATATCGTTTTAATACTAGTATAACAGGTAGGATTTGTTACCTCGATTTACAGTAGATTTAGAAGCCGTAGTTTAAACGCGCCTTAGTAATACAACGTAGTCTAATTTTTTAAATATGGTACTTCTCGTGCCAAAACCTGTATGGAATTGTTTTTTTTTTTTTAAATACTTTAAATTAGTTTATAGTATAATGGTATAATATGGTATATATATAATATTTCACACGGTTGGCAGCTGCACTAAATGTGCAATGGTATAGTTGTAGCATGCAATACAACTCTGTAAAGTGAACAGTTGTAAAATAGCAAAGACGCCGCAACTGACATATCGACGGCGTCCTATACATTTTCCCATACATCAAGAATCTACTAATTTTTACTATTTTCTTCGATATCATAAATGAAAAATTACTATCGTAGCAACAAAAAAATACTGTACATTCTTGCAGGTTCTGGAACTAACAATTTGTGTAGATGTGACTAGGGCAAAACATGGGAGAAAAGTCGCACAAATCCTTTAATGGCACAACGGTAACACTGTGGAGGGCAAATATCGATTTTTGGCTCTGACCAAAAATCGAATGTTCGATTTTGCTAAATGGTGTTATAATCGATTTATTGTGCTGCTGCGACAGGCCATATAATTTTCTAGAGTTGGGCAATCTAGTTCACGTAGCGGATCGATCATTCTCGTTTCTTTTTTAAAAAGGAACTAGTTCCTTAATGTAGTTCCTTTGATAATTACATACTTCATAAGTCGAACCACGAATGAGAGAGGGAACAACGCTCGTCTGTACATGGCATTAGACTTTTCAATACAAAAAGTCGATTAATCGAAAGTCGATTTACTTATCCCTAATCATAATTTGCCTAAACCTCATTCGTAAACTTTCGGTTATACCATTTTGAGTTCATCTTTATCGGCCATTTTGTCTTCTCCTCCCATTCGTTAGCAGGTGGAACGTTTTTCAATTTTTTCAGTCGTCGTTTTTATTTTAGCTCCGTTCCAAAACCTAAAAGAATCTACTAATTTTACAAGTTTGCAACTTTTTACTCGAAAACCGTTCCTGAACCCATAAAACTGGTAAAGCATTAAATCAAATTTAAGAGAGCACAAAACAAAATGGCTTTTTCTTTGTAAACTTTTTGTTATGTTGATTTTGAAGTATTGCCATCTAATTTTGGCATATTTACTAGATTTGCGTTCCCGAACTTTTCAAATTATTTTGTACTCTGAGACTTGAAATGTTTCCCTTTTACTAGCTTTACTATTAAACAAGTGAAAAAGCGTTAAGTTCGGCCGGGCCGAACTTTGGATACCCTCCACCACAGGTATACTGACAGGTATTTGAAATGAAAAAGTGGACCGATATTTATAATTTTAAATAGAGATATTTGGTACGCAATATGAACCCAATGTACAAAATTGCAGCGAATTCGGTTGAAAAGCGCGCTCAAGAACCCCAAAATACCGAAATTGGGGGGTACCCTTATATGGGGGATATCCGAAAAAATTGACCTATATTTAAATTTTTTTGTGGAGAGATTTGGCACCTGCTAAGAACTCAAAATACTAAATTACAGCCAATTCGGTGAAAAATACGATAAAAACCCAAAAAATACTGAAAATTAGGAGGTACCGTTATATGGGGCCTACAAGAAAAAGTGGACCTATATTTATAATTTGTTGTGGATACATTTACTACAAATTCGCTTGAAAAACGCGCTCAAGAACCCCAAAATACCGAAAATTGGGGGGTACCCTTATATGGGAGCTATACCTAAACGTGGACCGATATATCCCATCTTCGAACTTGACCTGCCTGCAGACAAAAGACAACCCTATGCAAAATTTCAGCACCCTATCTCAATTCCTTCAGAAGATAGCGTGATTACAACAGACGGACGGACATGGCTAGATCGTCTTAGAATTTTACCCTGATCAAGAATATATATATACTTTATAGGGTCGGAAATGAATATTTCGATGAGTTACAAACGGAATGACAAAATTAATATACCCTCCATACTATGGTGGAGGGTAAAAAAAGTACTGGAACAGACCATTTGTTGGCGAAGGTTTGCGTACGATGTCGCTTGAGTCTTGGCAGAACGACGATTAACAAGCGAATTTTATGAAGGCTGGAGTCTTGGAGGCTTCCCACTGTTCTTCTGAATCTCTCTCTCTCTCTTATTATTTTTTTTTCGTTTTTCCATATATAGTTCCTTTGCTCTTTATAGTTCCTTTGCTCTTTATAGTTCCTTTGCTCCATACAGTTCCTTTGCTTCAAATAGTTCAAAAAAGGAACTGGATCAGAGAAAGGAATTATATTAACTAAAGAACTGGAATTAGTTCCGTTCGTTCCTTTCTCGGAATAGTTCCAATGAACTAGTTCGTTCAGTTCGTTCCACTCTATAATTTATTTTTTTAATTCTAGAAATTTTTTGTCTTAATAGTGAAATTTAATTGCGAAAAAAACACAATGTCAATAAATAGCAATTTGTCCATTGCTGTTGTTTGTTCCTCGAACATGAATCGATCTATGGAGGCGCACAATTTCCTGGCCAAAAAAGGTTTCTATGTACGTTCCTTTGGTACGGGCAACAATGTCAAATTACCAGGCATGTCTTTTGACAAGCCAAATGTTTACGAGTTTGGAACCAGCTATGATTACATCTACAATGATTTGTGTAACAAAGATAAGCAATAGTAAGTTTGATGAATAAAATAATATTACATATGAGGTAATGAACACTCAGATATATTCATCTTTGTATATTCCACCAGCTATACACAGAATGGTTTACTGCACATGTTGGACCGTAATCGCCGCATTAAAAAGTGTCCGGAAAAGTTTCAAGAGACCAAGGAACAATTTGATATTATAGTGACGGTAGAGGAACGTGTCTATGATCAGGTGCTGGAACACATGGAATCACGAGAAGTAACAGATAATCGTCCTGTACATGTATTCAATGTCGACATAGAAGATAATCACGAAGAGGCCCTAATGGGTGCTTTTCTAATAACGGATATGATAACTATGGTAATGATCAACAATTCTTGTTGTCGTTGTTGTTGCTCTTCTTCTTCTAGTTGCAAAAGAAAATCATCATTGATGTGCTATGAAGAAAGTCAGCAGCAGCATATGATGGGGGGTGATATTATTATATGGGCTAAAGATAATTTGCATATTTGTCATAAGCAACCTACTAATTTATGGAGAAATATAGTGTATGAGAAATCACCAAATAATGAATATATTTTGTTTTCTATGTATATACTATTATATTCATATATAGGTTACACTATGGATTCGTTGGTTGTTGTAGAATGCGAGACAGCCATGGTATCAACAATTGAGCAAGGTAACGGCGCAAAACGCAAATTCTGTTAAAATACAGTACAATACAGGTGGAAAATTAAGTAATAATTCGAATTTAGAACCCATTAATAACCTTGGATTTGTTTGATAGATTTTGAAATCAACAGATAATGGATATATTTATTCATTAATTTCGTATTATGGCGATGTATTTTATTTCCTTTATATTAGGCAATGAAGTGAAATATAAAACAGGGTTGCTCAAAAATGCAAACGTCGGAGACTAACTGAGAAACCGCCATATAAAATGTCTTAAACAAAGAGAGTGCAGGGAACGAGCTTATTAACGGCAACAGTCCCCATGGATTTTTTTCTTCTGCCGGCTGTTTGAGGCAAGAAACGATTCTTCGTTAAACCATTGTAGATACCCAGCACTTTTTTATACATATGTATATAGGTTCTGAAACGGAGCGACTTACAGGTAGCAACAGCTTAATTAGGGGAATGAAGTGAAAGCAATAAAATAGTAAATTCAAACATTTCGTATGTTTGGCTTTCAGTATTAAAGGTTATGAAAGTGACCCCAAAATTACAATTTTGTTTTTATTTAGTTTGTTTTTTTATTTTGCCGTTACCTTGTATAATTGTATCATATCACCCACCTGGCTTATATTGAGAATTTTTTATGGAATAAAGTGACGAAATAGATGTGATTAACAGGGATTTTCAAGTGCTATATGTCTTGTGTACATTTTTAGGAGCGCACTTAATTAAGTAATCATTAATCTTGGTAATTTGGGTTATTTAAAAATTAAAAATCAATTTTTGTATTTTTCCTCCTTTTTACATTTGAAATGTTTTCCTATTTCCCTGCAGCAAATCATTATGGCAGAATATTTTTATCGCCAGTAAAATATCAATCTTAAAACCTACATTCAAAATTTTTTTTAAGATTGAATTAAATTGAAAAATTTTAATTTTTCAAAATATTAATGGATTAGGTTATGCCAGATAAAACTGAGATTTAATATTCTCCCGCATTCAATTTAATGATTGAACATTTAGACAAAGGGAAGTTAGGTACAGTATCCTAGAGTGTCCTAATTTATATTAGTTTATTTTAATTACCTCAATTCTAAGTTTGTGGGTGAGAGTTGGCGGGATTAACAAATCATCAACTCTCTCGCCCACAAACTGACAATTGCCGCATGTAAAATTACCAGGGACCGTAACGGTTATAACTTATATCAAATCAGGTAAAAAATAACTGTTATTATATAACTGTTATTAATTATTTTTTAACGGAAAAAATAAACGTTGATTTTTAACTGTTAAAAATGATTTTTATTTTTTCCGTCAAAAATAAAAGTCTTTTTGGATTTTTATTTTTTCCGTCAAAAATAAAAGACTTTTGTACATTTTTATGAAAAATAAAAGTCTTTTTGCACTTTTATTTTTTCCGTTAACAGTCTTTTTGCAATTTCATTAAAAGTCTTTTTGTGATTTTTATTTTTTCCGTTAAAAGTCTTTTTAAAAAAACATATAGAAAATATAACCTTTGACCTAATTTTTGTTTATTTATATTCATGTTTGGTACACTAGACTATTTTTTAAAAATTTATAACAAATATTTTTTACCTTTGATCTTGATTACATGTGTACACTTATTGTAATAAGGACAGAGATTTATAAATTGTAATTTTATAACTGATAACAAGTTGTATAAACTTCTTTACATAAAAAGAGTTTTATTTCCTACAAAAAATAAAAATCAAAATTTATTTTCTTAAAAAATAAAAATTGAAAAACTTTTATTTTTCAAAAAAATAAAAGTGGATTGTTATTTTTGACAAATAAAAGTTCCAAAGAGACTTTTATTTTTGACGCAAAAAATAAAAATGAAAAAACATTTTGACAAAAAATAAAAATTTTTTAACAGTTAAAAATCAACGTTTATTTTTTCCGTTAAAAAATAATCCTTAACATTTATATTAGTTTATTTTAATTACCTCAATTCTAAGTTTGTGGGTCCTCAGTACGAATCTATTGGTATATGACACTATTGGTGTCCCATGTCTCTAACATCTCTCGTTCGCACAAAAAAATAACTGTTATTTTCGCCGCATGTAAAATTACCTAATGTAAATCAGGACTTTGAGGAGTTGAAGTGGAAAAAATGGCAGGGGTAAAAATCTATTTTGGTAGCTTTAAACCAAGGTTTATTCATAAGGTTATCCACAGGCGAATTCATGCCTTAGCCTTCTCTTGATGTCAACTTTTAAATCGCGAAGTACCAGAACAGGATAAATTTAATTATCGAAGTCTTTATTGACTGTCGAAATTTATTGCTTGAAGAATAAATAAAGAAAAAAAAATAGTACCAGAACAGGATAAAAAATTTAATTATCGAAGTCTTTATTGACTGTCGAAATTTATTGTTTGAAGAATAAATAAAAATAATATTTTGATATTCAAACCAAAATATACATGCACATTACTATTTTGAGATTTTATCCAGTTCTGTTTAGTATTTAGCGATTAAAATGTTGACAGTAAGAGAAGACTAAGACATGAATTCGCCACCCGGTAGACCTTATTTAATAGATCATGGAGGTAAGAATTATGACAAATTGTTACTCCGACTCATGTTCAGACATTACGAACAAGTCGAAGTCGTAACAACTATCTTGTGATCGGGAAAAATTTCAATAGAATATTCTTTTATCCTCAAAAAATATTCTATTGAAAATAGTGTTATCGACAGATTTTCAATCGAAACACGCATTTTTTACATAAAAAATATGATTCACAGTGTTTTTATTTGAAAATATTTTTTTCCAACATTTTCACTAGAGAATATTAGGATTCACAGCAATTTTTTTATCAAAAAATATTTTTTTTCTAAAATATTGCCCATAGAAAATATTACGATTCACTAGATTTTTTTAGAAAACTATTAAAATCCACAATATTTTCCAAAGATAATTTTATATTCCAAAATATTTTCCATAAAAAATATTATGATCCACGAAATTTGCCATAGAAAATATTATGATCCACAACATTTCTATATAGAATATATTGTCCAAAAGCATTTTTCCACAGAACATATTATGATCTCTACAGAAAAAATACAATCCACAATATTTTCCATTGAACATATTGTGATCACAAGATTTATTTGTTATTTTTATTATATTAAAATCCACAATATTTTCCAAAGGTAATTATTTGTTTCAAAATATATCCCATAAAAAATATTATGATCCACCAAATTTTCCATAGAAAAAATTATGATCCACAACATTTGCCATAGCAAGTGTTATATTTATCATCATTTTATATAGAATATATTGACAAATAGCATTTCAACAGAAAAAATACAATACACAATATTTTTCCATTGAACATATTGTGATCCACAACATGTTCAATACCATAGAAAAATTATGTTCCATATAAAAGTATTTTATATCTCTATAGAAAATTTTGGAATTACAATGAATAATAAATAAAATATTATGTTCCACAAAATTTTCCATACAAAATAACTTTTCCAATCAAAAAAAAAAAAAAAAAAAAAAAAAATGACCCACTACACTTTTCTATAGAAAATATTGTAATTCATAAACTTTTGCAAAGAAAATATTATGATCCGTAATTTTTCTAAAGGAAATATTATATTTCACAATTTGTTCTATAGATAAATGTTAAGACCCAGAATATTTTTTTTTCATAAAAAATAGGCCCAAAATTTTGCAAAGAAAAAAAATATGATTAATGATTTTCTAAAGGAAATATTATGTTCAACAATTTGTTCTATAAAAAATGTAAGGATCCCTAATTTTTTTCTAATCCAAAATTGGCCCACTGCACTTTTCTATAGAAAATATTGTAATCCACAAAATGTTGCAAAGAAAATATTGTGATTCATGATTTTTCTAAACGAAATATTAAATAAATAAATATTATGGTCCACAAATTATTCTATAGAAAAATGTTAAAATCCACAATATTTTTTTATAAAAAAAGTTGGCCCACTACACTTTTCTATAGAAAATATTGTAATCCACAAAATGTTGCAAAGAAAATATTATAATCCATGATATTTCTATATGAAATATAATGTCTAAAATGAGTTCTATAAAAACTGTAAGGAACTCCAATTTTTTTCCTAAAAAAAATTGACCCACTTCACTATTCTATAGAAAATATTGTAGTACACAAAATTTTGCAAATAAAATATTATGATCCATGATCTAAAGGAAATATTATGGTCCACAATTTTTTCTAAAGAAAAATGTTTAGATCCACAATATTTATTTTCTAAAAAGATGACCCACTACACTCTCCTATAAAAAATATTGTAATCCACAAAATACAATTTTGTTATAAAATAATATAATCTACACAATTTTTTATAGAAAATATATGGTATGTTCCCGTACTGCAAGAATCTGCTACTTTTTACTACGATAACGAATTTTCCTTTATGAAATCGAAGAAAATAGAAAAATCTGGCAGATTATTGCAGTACGGGAACAGACCAATTAAGAACCACAATACATTCTATCGAATTTAAATATCATTCACAAACTTTTCTTTAAAAAGTGTCAATAAAATTTGTTTTCCATTAAAATATAATATTTTTATATGAAACCCTGACTAAATATTTGTTCCATTTCCATGATTCTTTTCAGATGTCCAAGTCCAGCGATCTAGACAATGATATTGATGAGCTATTACAGGAATTTGAATCGAGACGTAATAAAACTGTACTACATTCGGTACTATTCTACTGACTGGTAATGGTGTTTCAACAGATCTCTTTATGATAAAAATTAAAAAAAGCGAAAATTGAGACAATTCTACTGCTACTAATACCATCACTACCTAAAAAAACACATCCACATATAAGAGGATTTGTTACAACTAAATATTTGACTAAAAAAACAACAACAACAATAGCATTAAAGTTTATTACTCTGAGAAGAAAAAAAAAAAACAACAATTTAACATGGCCATAAGTGAAGAAAGTGAAACACAATAAAGTCGTGTTTTACACAAGACTTAAGAGTGCCACAATTCATCATTTCGAAAAATGAAAACAATCGCAAATGACCAAAAAGATTTGTTGCTCCCCAAAATGTCACATGGAACTCTTAAGCCTTTGTGTCCGACACTAGATAAATATTGATTAAGAAATAAAACACAAACAACATCATAATTAATTACATAAGTTTAAACATTAATTAAAATAAATCAAACAATACAATTGTCAGTTTATAGATAGTTTTTTAGTGATACATTTCAACAACCAATCACAATAACAAAACCCGAGTTTAATGTGCTGTACTTGGTATAAATATATTTTTTAATTGTAATAATAAACATAGTTTTATAATAATATTAAATGCTTTATTTTAAAGACAAAACAAGAAAAATGCAAATTTAAAAAATAATAGTAAAGTAAAATAAACAGAAAAACTAAAAAAATATATATTATATGTATATTGTTTATACCAAATAATAACTTAATAAAAAAAACATGTAATAAAAAGTACCATAAAACATAAAAGAAAAGTTGATGTTTTAATGCTTATTTTTATGTTACAACAAAATAAACGTTTCTTTATTATTGAACGTTCCCATGCCTCACTTTCCCACCCCTGCCACCATATGAGAAGGGATAGAAAACCCGCTACAGAAATCTACTTCAACAGCCAGTTTGTTATTAAGTTTCAAGAAGTAGAAATTGATTCTGCACGGATTCGATTTCATTAGAATATATTGCATATTGGGGATCCCATACAACAGAGCCATATTATTTTATTTTTTTTTTGTAATGTAGTGATCAGAGAATTATTTAGCCCATCGTTTTATAAATCCTAAGACACCGTGGGCTTTGTTTACCAAAGAAATTACATGATTGTTAAAATTTAATTTTGGATGCATTGAAATACCAAGATCAACAAATGAATCTACAGTTATAAACATATATATCCAAATACAAGATCCAAATAATTGCCCAGCCAAATCTACTCATCTTACTCTAGAATAAGATGATATCCATTTAACTAAATTTATACAGAAACCAATTTGATTTAATTTATATATTAAAAGTTCATGGTTAACCCTGTCAAAAGCTTTACTGAAGTCAGTGTAAATTGTATCGGTTTGATTACGCTGTATAAAACCTTTTATGACGGTTGAGGAAAATTGAATAAGATTGGTAATGGTTGATAGGCTACTACGAAAGCCATGTGGATTTGGACTTAAGATTGGCTGAACTTTATGAGAAATTACATCACTAATCAATTTGTTGAACTATTTTGGAATTGCACTTAATATAGCAATTTGTGTACATACTGGAGGTATTCTAATTATTTCAAAATATTGTGTAGAATTCACAAATGCATAATCTAGAATTAGATCATAACAATTTGATATGCTATTTATTTGATAAAAAAAATCGATTTACAATTTCAAAAGTATATGGGTTTATATTTGCATCAGATGTCAAGGATGTTAGGTTAGGTTAGGTTTGGGGATGTGCAGTCACGTGTATGACTGCAACACTCTGAGACCGGTTAGGTCCGTTGTGATCATCCACAAGAAGAGAAGCAGCGAAGTGAAGAGATAAGGGATAGATCTGTAGGGGAGAGAAGATTTGTGAAATTAAAGGAGTGAAGAGTGAGGGTCGATGGTCCTATGAGTCTGACAGAAAAGTGTTACGTGCCAAGGTTGTGTGCTCCTAACCACTTTATGCTTCTAATTATGCTGTAGATTAGAGCAGGTTCGGTTGTTGAGAAGAGGCTGAGACTAGGTAGAAAGTGAGCCCCCATTAGTCTGTGCCGCCTGTAAGCAAGGGCTGGGCACTGGCACAGGAGATGCTCAATTGTCTCCGTCTCCTCTTCGTCAACACAGAGTCTACAATAATCAATTGCATCGAGGTCCCATTTACTAGTAAAGGCCCTGATATTGCAGTGACCAGTGATGATTCCTGTCACCACTCTAATTTCGGCTTTGCTCAGGTTCAATAGTTTGCGCGTTCTTTTGGTAGACAGAGTCGGCCAAATGGATCTTGACACGTTGCACCTAGGTTCGTTGTGCCAAAGTTCGCAGGCTGTTTCGTCAAAGAACGCCTCAAAGTTCCTATAGAAAAGACATATGGGTGGTTTGATTGAGTCATCAGTTTCTAGATCAGTGGATTGAGATCCTCGTCTAGCTAGTTCATCCGCTCTTTCATTACCCAAAAAGTCACAATGTCCTGGTACCCAACACAACCGATAGCTACGGTTAAGTTCTTCCAGAGCTGTTCTACACTTGAGGACGGCTTCGGATGATGTGACAAGATTTGATGGCTTTAAGAGCCGCTTGACTATCCACGAAGATAGTCACCGGTTCAACGACCTCAGCATCCAGACTTTTTATCAATTCCGCTGCCTTCCAGATCGCGAAGATTTCAGCTTGGAAAACACTGCAGTTGCTATCCAGCTTGTAGGGTTAAGTCAATGACCTCCTCTCTATCCCTAACTTTAAAGGTCGGATCACTACCCCTATTACATATACGTAAATTATAGGATAAGATGAAATCGAAAACGGACTCACCTCGTTTATTTGTGTCCTTGCTGCCCCATTGAAAATGGTGAGCATTTGCGTCGCATCCTAATATAACGTTGCAAGTGCTCGTCATCTCCTCGAGCATCTCTCGTACACAGGTGGCTGGTGGGTCCAACTCCTCAAATGGCATGTAGACTGAGGAGAGCAGGGTGGCCCTTCCCGTCTCGTGCTCAAGCCTTACGGTGCACATGTCACCATTGCTGTAATTAGATAGAAAGATTAGATTTAAACTCTTCTTACCTACTATACATGTTCTCACCTTGTCCCCCATGGACGCGGCGAAAATATCAAAGTTGGCATTCCTTAGTCCAGAAACCACATTTTTATAAATATATGGCTCCTGGACTAGGGCAATGTCCACTTCCGAGTTCGTGAGGGACAGGAGTAGTTCGGCGGCTGCGGCCTTGCAATGATGCAGATTGATCTGCATTATGCGCAGCCTACGCCGCTTCCCCACTCCTACTGAGTTTCGGTGGATGTGCTCAGTCGAAACCGAACCCATCCTGAACCGAAGTTCAGTTTCCCCTCACGATCTCTGAGATATTTCTCTCCCGGTGGGTCAACCAACAACTCTCGCCACCATACCGCCATCCTCACTACAGGGAGTTAGACTGACCACAGTCCAACTCGATGTAATGAGGCTGGGGTTTTGCAGCGCCAGCATCTTCAGCAGGAGCTCCTTATCCACAGAAGGTGGGGGAACCCAGGCTGAAAGGACCCGTCTGGTTGGGATTTCCGCTAGGGAGACCGCCGCAAGGTCTGCTCCTTCCCAGAGCGCGCCAAAGCCACTAACTGTTTCCACAAGGAAATCCTTGGATTTCTTATTTAGACAGTTAATGACTTTGGCACCCTTCTGCATGAAGGCACTACCAAACTGTCGGTCCCCTTGGTCCGTCCCGCAGACGATAGCCGACCGAAGGGCTCCTTCAAATAGCAACCAATGACTTTCACTGATTCTACCCAGAGGATCAGCTTTGTCAATGATCGCCACAAGAAGGTCTTCTTCAGTGGCTACCTTTGTTGGTCTATCATACGGCTACCTTTGTTGGTCTATCATACGGCTTACGCTGCCGTTGACTACGAACCTTGGAGGTCGCCTTTCCAGAGGAGGTTGAAGCCTTCTCCGTACTTAGTCGTTTCCCCTCGGTTTTTTGTCCAACGCAAGCCGCATAAGAGGTAGAAGGGTCTACCAGACGAGAAGTCATCGTCTTCTTGGGTGAGGGTTGCGGACCTCCTGAAGAGCGGATGCGCTTCACAGATTTATTCTGTGGGGCGACATCTGCTCCCCCAGGAGACGATGGTTCCTTGACTGACTTCCCCTTCTTCCTGTTTCGACCACTTTTTGGTCCACTCAGAACTTTTTCCTCACCTTTGTCACTAGGCGCAGAGTCAGACTTTGAAACAGTGCCCTTCGCATGTTGATCACCCGTATGGGTGCCATCCTGCTTTGGGGTACCTTCAACTGTCTTTTCCTGTGCTCGCTTACTTGGGCTCGGATCAGAACTGGGCTTCGGGTCAGAGATCGGCTTAGCACCTTTGTCAGAGACAGTGGGCTTTACCGATTCTACTACTTTTGTGCGAGCAGTGAAATTTGGGAGGGAGATCTTGTCCATCTCGAGTTCGCGATGGAGAGCGTGAGGGTAAATTCTCTCGAATTTCCTCACATATCTCATCTTACTCTTGATGAGGTGAACCTCCCTCTCCGAGATCAAATTCGCGTCTCGCCCCACGAATTTGCGAAGATACGAAACAGCACGTTTGTAATGCTTCGCATCGGTCACTTCTCGGGCCTTCCCTACCTTTGAGCCACTGTCCGTTTCCGGGGGATCGACAGATTCCCCATCGTCGGACATCACCTCTGTTGCGGATTGCCTCCGAAGTTTGTCGGCAGGTGCCGACACAGGACCCGTTGAAGACAGACTGGAGGTCGGTTGGACAATAGGGTCCACAATTCCTTCGTTGCTGCTATGGCCATCCCCCTGTGTAGACTTGGCTGGGATCACCGTGGTGTCCAGCTCATCATCAGTTAGGGTAAGATTTAATAGCAGTTCCTCCGGAAGCGTGTCCCCACATTGCTCTTCCGGTACCAGTTTGTCTAACTGGTCGAAGAGTTCCTTACTTTGTTCCTCTAGACTATCGCGGATAGCGCGTAGAGTCCCGTGTAGGTCGTCCCCTCCCAGAACTGCAGTCCTGTCAGCCAAGGACTGATTTTCATCAGCCTTGACATTATCATTAGCCAAAAGAATTGCCGGTTCGTCAACGTTTTGTTTTGAAGTTGATGCACTTGTAGCAGGTACGGCTGTAGGTGCCAAGGCATCCACACCTAGAACAGCCGGATCACAATCGCTTGATCTCGACGACACGTGGCTTGTGACCTCACCAACGATTGCCGCCGGTACTGGGTTATTAACTCCCTGCACCGTAACTTTATTCTTTTTACTACGTTTTCCCATCTTAGTTAATTTATTTAAGGGCACTACCCCGATCCATTTTGGTCCACGGGGGATCCGAAGATCCCCCGGGTTTCCACAAGGTACAGAGAAAAGTTGATCTAGGAGACCTAGGTCAGTTTCTCTCTGCACATCATGGAGACCCCCTTCCCATCCGCCACCCGGGAAGACGCGCCTAGTAGGAGATTGGCAACTCCCCTAGGGAGTTGCAACTCCCCTAGGGAGGATGTTAGAGCCTCAGAATCTGGTAATGAAAGCCACTTTACGAACGGCAGATTAAAATCGCCGGGAACTAAAATTCGTCAGTCATTCATTTTGTTAGTGATTGAATTTATTGCTAATTTATCATGGTAACGAGTGATGGTACGAGACACAAACGATTTATTCACATTTAAATGCTGGAGTGCTCTAACGATAGCCAATTGTGGTTTTCCAGCCAAATGTAAAGAAATCACAGTACGACGCCTGAATTCCATCACAAATAATTTTATTTCTAGAAAATTCTCACAAAAATGCTTTTGTGCGCTTACAAACAATATGCTGAGCTGTCACTGGAATAATTTTAACAGCAGTCTGAAGTTGGTTGCAGTTTTTTCATCTCACCCTGTATTTTCCCATGACATTAAAATATGAAGTTAGACACATATAATTTTTGTGGATATTTTCTATCGGACCCACTGTTTCCACTGTTAAAATCAGCATCTTTTCTCTCTCTCTCTCTGTCTCTCTGCCCTTTATTCTAACTGGCTCTCATACTCTTTTCCAAACCCATTTTTATTAACAATTCTGTTTGTTTAAATGTACTCATGCATTAATAAAAATTAAAAAAAAAACATATTTGTTTGAAACAAAACCAAACATACCGAGATTGAGATTAACTATTTTAACCTTTTTTGTACCTACCAGATGAGATTGAGTTGAATTTAATTCAAAGTCTCCCAAATGAGAATATGATGATTAAACAAAACAGAAAAAAATACTGTGATTCACTCGAAACAGATTTTGAAATAAAGCTACCTACTTTTTTGTATTGTATATTTTTTGGTTGTGTTTGTGGCTTTAAGGTAATGTTGGCCACCAACCAACCATCCATCCGGCCAGCCAGCACAGAAAACACACTTGCATGCATTTCCAAAACATTTCAGTCGCATAATTGAAGTGCTGAAGCTCGGTACTACATTGTTTACCATAACGCTCATTCACAGTCGAATCGAAGTCGAAGAAAAAGACGAATCAGAGATTGGCGCGATCATCGTACGATCCGGAACGCGTGTTTGTTTTTTTTTTACAAGTGCAACAGCAATAACAAAAACAACAACAATCATCAATTGCACTCAAATCATTTTTGTGCCCCCTTCCGTTCAATAAAATTAAACTTTTTTCTTACAACAATAACAAAAAAATTGCATTAAAATTGAAAAAAAAAGTAATAAGTTTCCACGAAGAGGATAGAAAAAGGCGAACAGCAAGAACAACAATAATTATAATTGTTAATTAAATACAATTTACAATTTTTCAATTAAGTGCAGTGAATTTGCAAATTGAATAGCATTTGACATTGCAATGAATACATTGAGAGTGGATATCAACCATAATGGTGAGTATTGACATAGGCACATACCTTTATCGACATACATACATATAATTATTTTATTTCTTAGTTAAGTAGGTCCGGTTTGTGTATTGAAGTAAAGAAAAGAAAGACAGTCGAAGCTCGATAAATGTCATAATAATTGTTAACTGGTCAGAATAATGGGGGTACTATTGGGGTATATTTATATTCATAACGAAAATAGTTCAGAACAAAACTATTAAATCGGGACTTAAAATGGCATGTCCATACAACTTTTCTCCGGGTTAAACCGTATTTACATTAGAAATTCGGTCAAATATAAACGTCCGGTAAAATGTAAACGTACTATTAACCTACTTTATGAAGATTTATATGATAATTTTAACCCGCTGGAATAACGAAATTCAATACAATGTAAATTTATTATGGGCCTAGATTAAGGATCGGCCGCGAGTCGTTTTGCAATTTTTTACTCTAATTAAGTCCAAATTTGCATTAGCCAATGCCTACATCAAAGGCAAATCAGTGGATACAGCCTTACATGAGGTGGTTGGACGTATCGAGAAGAATATGGAGTCCTCCGGCTAAACTTTGGCTGTGTGAGCTCAGATATCCCCTCACTTCTAACGGACTGGATTGATAGAATGCTGGAAAGCAGAATTATCAACTCGTCTTTAGAAAAGAGTTCCGTGAGGAAATCTGTCAACAGAAGCACAACACAACGGGGAGTATTATCTCCTCTTCTATGACTTCTGGTGATAAATGAGATACTGCTGAAATTCGACCAACTTAAAATATACAACCTTTATTTTAAGTTGGTGATGGTATGTTGATGATGTAGTCTTGCTAGTCGGTGGGAAGTTTCTGACGACTATTTCAGATATTACGGAGGGCTCCTATTCAACTCTGTCCAACTGGGCATACGCCAATGGTCTTGGCGTAAACCCCACTAAGACAGAATTGGTGCTCTTCACTAGGAAACGTAAGATTCCAATTTTCCGCTTGTCATCTTTGGGTGGAGTGATCTTATCCCTTTCTGCAGAAGCAAAATACTCCATAGATAAGAGTTGGGGACTAAGACCAGAGATCATACATTTGCTGTATGTGACGGTCGTACTTACATATGTATGACTTGTATTGTGACAGGGGGCCAGCAGAAAGAAACTGCTGACTTAAATGAACCCGTACAGCGATCGGCTTGAATCCTGACAACCGGAGTGCTAAGAAGCACACCACAGGCAGCCTTGAATGCGTTCTTGAACCTAAAACCACGGGAATCTCTGATTAAATTCCATGTCGGGAAGTCGCTGAACTTTGGTCACGCTAGTATCCTCAACATATGTTCCCTCTCATAGAGAAGGCACTGGTACCTGTAGGGAAATAGAAATCTACAACTCATATAAACTTAACAATTATTGTTGCTTTTTCAAGCAGAAATCCTTGCAATTACGAAAGCGGCCGATATAGTCAAAACACTTATAGTGCTCAGGCGGCCTAAAAGCTTTAAATCTTTATTGATTTGCAAGGCTGTTCTACATGATGTACGATGGGTAGTTAATTTATGTTGGGTTCCGGGACATAGAGGGGAATGAGATAGCCGACGAGCTCGCTTCAGGGTGTTCACGGTCGAGAGCTCTTTGCAACCGCCAATTTGCTATTTCAATCCGCTTGATCTACGGCGAGGTAGTCGGCAACAGATGGTCAAGAGAACCTGTTTGCAGAATCTCGAAATCTATGTGGCCTGAATTCTCTCGCCGAAGAAAATGACATCTGTATATAAAATAATTATTAAATATTATCTATATATCGGATACTGTAAAGTTAACTACCCCATTTTTAGAGAAGAGATTTTATTCCATAAAAAAATTGACTTTTAACCTAACCTATGAAAAATATGATAGCCTGATTTTGTTTGGGTTAAAAAACGTACCTTATTATCTACTACATCATCTGTTGCAAATATCATTGTCCGTTATCAGCACGAATATTATTTTACGTATTTTTTATATATTTAATGACTCAAATAATTAACATTTGTTCTCTACAATTACAACTAGCAAAAAACTGCAATACATTTATAGATAAGAAATTATCTCTCTGTAATAAAATTAATAAATGTACAAACATATGTTTCTATTAAGTACATTTTTTGTTATATTTTTATCTCGTACCAACATTTTTAGAATCAGGCTATTAAAAGTGCAAATCATTCTTTATTTAGGGAAAAGTCCATTAAAATTGGCGATGTTGCTTTATTTACTTAGCTGGTTTGTGACAGAACATTTGCTCCAAAAGCCGGCCTTAAAAAAGATTTCCAAGCGCGTTGGTTTTGTGCTCATCTCATCCAATTTGAAAAACCATGTTCCGAGATTTTGTCTTCTACTTGATCTGATTCGTGGCCTTCCCCTTCTGTGTGAGCCATCAATTGGTTCGCTTTTATATGCCTTTTGAGTGGGGGAATCCTCATCCATTCTCACAACATGACATAGCCAACGTAATCGCTGTAGCTCGATCCGTCTGACCATGTCGATGTCCGAGTACAGATGGTATAGCTCATGGTCCATTGGACGACGATCGGCCCATAGATATTTCGGCGAATTTTTCTCTCAAACACTCGCAGAGCTGCCTAATCTGCTTGCTTCAGTTCCATACACCAGTCAGTATCAACGTCTTGTAGTGTGTGTTTGGTCTGGCGAGAGGTGGCTTTGTTCTTCAATTGCTTACTCAGACCATAGTAGCTGGCCAACACTATCCTCTGAATTTCAAATCTGATGTCATTAGTTCTTTATTAATTTTTCTTTCGAGATGAGCTACATGATCGAAGTTGCAAAGAAAAGGAAAACCAGAGAGATACTACATTCCTACCATTATGCGACGCGTTTCGCCGTTGGTTAAGCGGCTCATCAGGCATATTGAGCAATGTGGCTTACAAATGTCGTTACTTGAACATTCCTTTTCAGAGCAGATTTTTCTTGTAGTGACGGACTTTTTTTCCATACGGACTACAATATTTTTTTCTTCAATGCATATTGTGTCACCTTAGGAAGATAAGGAGGTTGCTTTGAACGCTAAGGCGCCGGACAACAATCAACAGATGCCATGGGAACCAATTTTCAATTAGTTTCATTAGTTCTATTTATGGCGGCAGCGAGGTATATAAAATCTTTGGCTACATCAAAGCTGTAGTTTTCAAGTTCCACAATTGATCCGAGTCTACTGGACATCTTACGCGTTGATACCATCAGCTGAGTCTTCCTGACATTTTTCGGTCAGTCCCACTATGATAGACTCCTTCTCAATTCGTTCAAAGGTGGCTGTTTGGTGTACAGTTTCATATATGTTCACCTTTGCATCCCGTATGATATTTTTCAGGATGTTAAAGAGATCACACGACAAACTGTCATCTTGTCTGAATCCTGGTTCGGTATTGAATGGCTCCGAGAGGTCCTTTCCGACGTGTGAAAATGTGTTCTATAGTGGATTTGTCAGGTCTGAAGCCGCATTGGTAAGATTCAATAATATCATTGACCATTGGCTTCATTATTCTTCAGCCGCTTTATTGTTATTCTGACCTGATCTTGGCTATGTGTTATACAATCTATACCTTCATATCTTTTTGGTTCTGGAGTATTTTCTTCTTTCAAATCCTCAACAGGCTATTTATATCTGTCACCAGGTTTCTTTCTTCATCTCTACAGGAGGATGTACCTGCACCAAAGCCTTCGGTTTATTGTTTTATTCGTTGGTAAAATTTCCGGACTTTATTCTGACTCCTGTACGTCACGATTTGCTTTCTTTTGAAAATACGTTTCTTTTTAAGGCGGAATATATTTCTTCGCCTCAACAAGGTTTTGACAATTTGTATTATTTTGTACCTTGGTACTTGATTTGTCATAGAAATATTCCAGATCTTTTGAGTCAATTACATTTACTTTTCTAAAACTATGCATATAATATTTTCAGTTTGTAAAAAATAACACGTGATGCATGGCATCATTTACAGGCTTGCATTCAAAATCGTTTTGATTATTATTACTACTTTTTTGGATTATGTTACAGATTAACACACACACTTCATCATGACATTCATGGCAATGAACTGACATCTAGCAAAAAAAAAAAAAAAACAACGAAACAAGATCATTGCAAAATAATAATTATACTACTCGTACTAACATGCATACATACCTCTCCAATTTGCCATGCCCACTCGCATTTGTTGAATGGGTTCGTCGTCATACCCAAAGCCAATAACAAATCTGAAAGTATAATACAACAACCACAAAAAACAACAACACCGATTCACGCATATATTTATAAATTATAAATGTATACGCAATAACATTCATTATCAAGTTCAAATAGTAAAAGCCGACGTTGTACGTTATTGAAATTACACGTTCACTTACCTTATAGCTCGCTCACTCACGCAGTCATTCATTCATGTATTCAAAATAAATGAAAGTTTATACATTCTAAAAAATAATAAAATGAATTAAAATTTAGTTTAGAAACAAAAGGTTGATTTATTTGCAATTTTTCTAAATTTTGGAAATAATTTAGATGCGGAAATGTCCTTCAAAATATCATTACCTATTAATCTGATGAATAATAGAAGTTCGTGCCATTCGGTTGCTAAAAAACCAACCAGAAACTAAGTACAAGTTACAAGGATATAAAGGCCCGTTTGGACAATAACTTTTATCGAGATAATAGGTTTATCTTAATTTAATTACTGATTTATCATAAAAAAGTCTAAAGAAGTTTATAACAAATGGATCAAAATTAAGTTATATCATTTTATACAAAATTCCTAAGTGGGATTCCTAGTGAAATGCCTTCTCTACATCAAGTGAAATAGCTACTGTACATTTCCGTAGATTACATATTATCTTTATTTTCAAATTCGAATTGCAGATCTGGAATATATGAAGAATTAAGACCATATTTCATTTTATTGCGTATTATAAGCATAAGCATAGAGATGTGTGTCGAATTAATTGCTTTTTTCAAACCCGGGACGA